GCTGACATGAGCAGTAGGGGCATGCTGGTGTGCAGGCAGTGCCTTGCCCTTGAAGTGTGGATGAGGACTCTGCAGGCTGTGTAGATGCAGTGAGGTAAGGAGGAGGGAGGGCTGCCCACGTTTGGAAACCATGGGGAGGAAGAGGAATGAGGAATGCCTCAGCTTGTAGTTAGTAAGCTTCTGTTCTGGACACCACAGCATGAGAAGCCAAGCGCCACTCCTGGTTTCCTCCCACTGCATGTTAGGTACCAATCCACAGCCTAGAATGCAGCAAGTACTGCTGCAGATCTTTTGTTGGAGCAAGAACCAGCAGCTGGAGGGATGCGCTGAAGGGGGCCAAGGGGCATCTCTGTCTCTGGGAGTGGATTGTGTTTTCAGTGAAGGGGCACTGAGTTCTAATTAGTGGAAGGAGGCGTGAAAAGACATAGGTGAAATACATGGCAGTTTTCAATTTTTAAAAAAAAGGTCACTGGCAGTATTTAATATTTTTAATATTAATTGCTCTAAAAATTCTGTGACAAACTTGGCTTTTGTACATTTCTGGGCATCTGACTCCCTGGTCTGCTGCTCAGGCAGGCTCTGAGATTTTTATAGGGGTTGAGACATCTGCTGCACAGGAATCCACTTGTCCATCTTGTGCAAACCAAGTGTGCCTGTGGAAGCCCACGCTGCGTGTTTTGGCCCGTTTGGTGGAATGTTAGTTTTTCAGTTCAAGTGCTGACATGCTGACCATAGCCAGTTCTAACAACACTGCTTCTTGAGTGAGAAGATGAAAAGTATTATTTAGGGGGAAACAAGGCATGATAGTGCCTGTGAAGTCTGTTTTTCTTGCTGTTAAATTTGTGGCATCCATCCATTACTGCTTTTTATCTCATGGTCTGATCGGTACTTTGGGTATACCACAGGATTAGCCGTCTGCAAACCCTTTGGGTCTCGCCTTTTACTGAGGCTGTTAATACTTTCTGTAATCAGCCTAAAATGGTCTCTTCATGTTGCCGCCTTATCTCTTAAGTCCTTGAAATCCTTGCTTCAGCATCTTTCAGCAAAAACGAGGAAGACAGAACTACCATTTCTAAGGTTCAGAAACTCATCAGACTTGTTTGCTCACCCCTGCCATCAGAAAGGGCACTTTTGTCGCCATCTTCAGTAGGTTTGCGTCCATCTGAGTGACAGCACTCTGAGCAAGTGCCCGACAGTTATTTGTGATGCTAGTGAGTCCGTTATTTGAGGCTTCCTACCTTGCCCAATTTCAGCTGCAACAAGAGAGGAGGGGTACAAGAAGTTGTCAGAGTCGGTGTGTAAATGCCTTCTCTTGGCTACTGTGGCTTGATCCAGTCTGTGCTGAAGGTCTCAAACCAATATTGTAACAGAGTTAATAGCCATCATTTCATTCTGGTCCCTCCTTTCATCAGCCCACGCTGGACCAGACATGCTCCAGAGGCAAAAAGGGATAGGCAGTCTTCTATGGAGGTACTGTTAATGTGTGCTGAGCATGCATGCAGGCAGACTGGGGGAGTGATTAGTGCCCTGGGAATCCACTCGCTGCCTGGCTGCACAATGCTGTTGTGTCAGGCCCAGAGCTTGGCACCAAGCAGCTGCCGTCGGGCGCCAGGAACACATTACCTAGTTTGTGCAGGACCAGGCAGCGAGACAGAGACTGTGTGTTCTCAGCGGGGCGCGTCCGCTGCCGCGCTGCAGCTTCCTGCTGGCACAGTGAGGCTCTCTTTGGATGCGGGGCTGCTGCTAGGTGGGGGCAGGAGCCCTGCGATTCGCAGCTCTGGCTTCTGCCAGCACGAAGTCCCGCGTTTGCCCAGTTGTGGAGGAGCCCACCCACCCCTGAGGTGAGAGGGGATGGTGCTTGGCCAGCTGTCAGGAGCCATGACTCACTGGGGATCACAGGCGGAGCCTGGCTCTCCCTGCAATCTGCTTTTCCTGCTGGAGCCTCTGTGCAAGCTGTTGCTGAATGTTTGTTTTCAATAGATCTAGGGTGGATCTGGGAGAAGCTCAGGTCCACCAAGCCTGAAGAGCTGGACTCAGTAAGTTTCCAATCTGGAAGATACTGAGAGGCTTCTTTCTCTAGGTGGGAGTTTGGAGAAAACATTAGGAAGCAGCATTCCATGGAGTAAGACAAGGCCAAGGTCCTGGAAAACATAATATTTTGTGTTCAGTTCATGTTACGAAGCAAGCAAACTCCACAAGACTGATTCACTGCTTTCGAATGCAGGGGCAGATAGAGTCAGGGAGTGATCCTGTTCCTCTGAGTACTGCTGAGGGAACATGAGCTTGTTGGGATTCTTTTTTTGGCAGTTTCAGAAGTTACTTCATGCTTTCTTACCTCATGGGCTGGCTCTCAGGGAATGCTTGTCACATGAATATGTCAGTGTCCGTGTTTTATTATAACTGCAGTTAATATGTACATGGTGGAACAACTTCAGTCCTGCCTGCCCCTCGCAATCTTCTGTCTCATTTGAAAATCTTGTACATTTTAATGAATGGGTCCCCAGAGCTGCAGGTCAGTTGAGTAAGGGGCAGGATCTAAGCCCTTGCCAGTGAGAGGGCCGTATCCTCAGCGCCTCAGTGACTGCAGCAAAGCCAGAGTTTGGGCCTGCAGCACACGTGCTGTAATTCTCACACTCCTCAGCCCACTTTAACCTTACACCTTTGACAGAAGAATTGCAAGAAATTTCATCGTGTGCTCCTGGAGGAACTACCCTGAGGCAGCAATTAGGCCTGCGATATTTTTCCGCCTTTGTGCAGCGCAGCGGTGAAGTTCACATAGCCTGAATGTGGCAGGGATTCCTAGGACCTTGAGCTGAGGGGGCAGCCTGTCTGCGGGGTGCAGGGCAGCCCCAGCTGCCTGCCAGGGGCTGCTGCTCTCCTGTTCCCCACAGAGCCTCCAGCGGCATGCCCCAGCCACCCCACCTCCAAGAGCGCTACGCTCCTTCCTTGTCTTTAGTGTTTCTGAGCTAATTGATGGCTCTTCCATCTTTTTCCCCGCTCCACATGGTCATGTTTTTAATACTGTTACTCCTTCTGCCTCAGTAGGTTCCTGCTACCCTGAACTGCAGCTCTTTGTGCTCCTGATTCACTCCAGTCCATTCATCTCTTTTTAGTGGCAAAGTGCTGTCGGCTGCTGGATATTTGGCTCTTTGTTTGTACAGCCAGCATAATGCTGGTGACAAAGGGACAGCCTGTGCCCCAAGGAGCCCACGTGCTACAGGGAAGGCAGCGGAGAGCAATAGGAGAGACAGACTGGACAGCAGAGTTGAGCGTGGCCGGGGGCTGGGGCGCAGCGTGCTGGCTGCAGCAGGGGCACGACTGGGCGTTGGGAAGGACGTGCTGAGGAAGCCGATCCTGCCGAGTACAAACCCACTTTGTTCCCAGTAGGTGAGTTGGACTGGATAAACAGAGCGGTCCCGTCAGTGGAAAGCCTTTCCCTGCCTGGATCCCCCACTGGCACAGTCCCTGGAAGTTGGCTGCACCTCGTCAGCAGGGATGTTTTTCTCCTCTCTGTGACAGCTTTCCCTCTTCCTGACTCTCTGGGGCTCAGGTGGGCTGTGCACGGCTGTGTGGAGAAACTGGGGCCCTGAGGGCTCCGTGTGTTCGCTGTGGGTGGATGATGTGTGTCATCACCATGCTCTTTCTGCTGTTAACTGGGTGGGACAGTTCGACAAGCTGTGCAGAGTATGAGACGGGCATTGGCTGGCTGGGCGGTGCTTGGAGGTTGACTGTTCACCCTGCACGTAGAGGCAATTTGGGAGGGGAGGAGGTTGGGTCTCATTGCAGGGAAGTCGTGTCTGATGAGACAGAACAGGCACGTTGTTTGTGTTGTGGGAGGACAGTAGCTTGTATCAGGGGGGCTGGTGGGGAGGATGCTGATGTCCTGCCCATAATTGCAGTGGGACAGGAGGACGAAGGGAAGCATTCACCAGTATGAGGTGCAGACACTGAGGAATAATCATAAGGTTCCTGGTTGTCTTGGATGGATGCACCTTTCTGTTCCCCTCCCGAGGGATCTGGGAAGAGAGAAAGGAGCAGCTGAAGCTGCAGGACTCCTGCTGCCTTGGTGCAGTGCATTACCTTGATGGCGAAGCTGCTTGTTATAAAGCAAAGATGATACGGAAGAATATCCGGGCTCAGCAGGCACTTCCAGAGGAAGGGGGAATCTGGGGCATAGGCCTTGATGAGGACATCTTTGACTGCTGTCAGGTCCTCTGCCAGGGGGAATTTCAGCCTTGGCTCCCAGAGCCTTGGACAGGGTCTGCATCTTCATCTCAGCCTAGCTTCTGCCAAGATGAGGCCTCCCAGGGGATGGCTGAGCCTGGCACCTCGAAGGCAGAAGGGGCATTTCCAGCCAGGTCTGAGAATGCCTAGGCTGGGTGAGTTCAGGCGAGGGCACTGATGGGGAAGAGGATGGTGGGGTGAGCTTGCCTGAGTGGACTTTGTTCCTTTTCTTTTGCTGGGCAGAAGTTTGACACTGCTCCAGCACACAGTTCCTGGGGCCCTGAGCGGTGGCATGGGGAGGGGGATGCCTGTGCTCATGCTACCAGAGCAAACGTGGTGGGACCATGCAAGTGAGTGGTGTTGTCTGCCCTCACAGCCCTGGCAGGCTCAGGGCCCTGCCCTGTGTGTCAGGGAAGCACTGAGCTTCCTCTCCAACTCTTGCTTCCTTTCTGACAGGAATTCACTTCCAATTTTCTTGCTACTTCTACCCTCACTGCAGCACAAACACACGTCCCCACAGACATAGCCAGAGGGGCTGGACAAGGCAGGTTAGACCATGGGGGCTGCATTGCTGGAGACCCTTGGCTCTTGCTTCACGTGGTGAAGGGTTTCAGGGAGCTTAGGATAGGACCACCTCCTGCTGTTCTTGCCTCTTGTACTCAGGAAGAGTTTTACTTTCTGAGCTTATATGTCATATTTTCAGGTGTTTCTGGCTGCTAACAAACTTTCTGCTGTGTCTCAGACTTAGGTACTTATCTGCCTTCAGACCCCTCACAATGGAGGCTGGCTCTGTGGTACGAGCAGTCTTTGATTTCTGTCCCAGCGTCTCTGAGGAGCTGCCCCTCTTCGTGGGAGATGTCATCGAGGTGCTGGCCGTGGTGGATGAATTCTGGCTCCTTGGCAAGAAGGAAGGTGTCACAGGTAAGAGTTGGTAAGAGCTATAAATGCCTGCCCTGGATCTGTAGACATTCCAACTAACCATCCACCCTGTGTGTGGCCAGCGCTGGTCAGGATCAGATATATTTTACTAAATCATTCACAGGACTTTGCTTGGGACTGAGGATGCTCGTTCTCTGTCACTGGTCTCCTGCCAGCTTTGTGTCAACTATTCAGATGGCTCATTTATTTTTTGAGATAGATTACTGGAGTGTCAGTTCTCAAGGAGATGAGAGCTTCACAATACCAAGTGCTCCATCCTCTGTGGCAGGACAGCCCATTTCCTGCCTAGTTTATGCACTGGCCTGCTGTAGCAGCAGAAGGGGAGAGAGGAAACAGATGCACTGGGAATGGAAATGTATCCACAACAAGTGACCTCATCAGGTCAAGTCAGTGGGAGATGCAGTGACAGAGTCCATGTGTCCCTCTGAGCCTTCGGACTCAGCCCCACTTCCTCCCTTCCATTTTAAAGCATTTTCCTGCACAAGCTGCCATCAATACTGGGGTGCCTGAAGTAGTGTGCTAGCCTCCTAAGCTTTTGGAGGGATGTGAGAAAATTCTGAAACAGCAAAATGCTCTTAGTGAAATGCTAAAAGTCTTGTAGTCCCTCTTTAAGCAGCTCTTTCTCATCTTAATACTGATGTTGAGCGGGTGCGCGAGCTCTCCGGGAGGGGAAAATGAGGCCACCTTGAAGCATAAGCCTGACTCTGTCTTCAGCATGAGGATGGGATTGGAGTTTCATCCCTGGCTGTGGAGATGGAGCTGCTAGTGCAGCAACAGTCTGGGCTCTGCTAACACCCATGAGCTTCCTTCTGATTAAAACAAAGATGGACACAAGCAAAGGTGGAGAGGAGGACTTCTCTCCTGTGCTCCATGTAGCTGATAAACGGCACTGAATGAACACGTGCCTGATCCTGCTGCTGCTGCTGAACTCACTGGGCACGGATGACTTCTGCAGAAATCACCATCTACTTCACCACAGTTTTGTCTTCCAGCATAACTGATGTACTTGTTCTCAAAAAGATGAAGCTATTAAGGAGTAATAAGCAGATACGTGTCATAGCTCAAAGATAAGGTAACACTGAAGTCAAACCAAATGGTTTTTAATGACCTTTAACTCAAAACCCAGTTGCATTCCTG